TTTTCCCACTGGCAAGGGGAATACCTGCTTGACACGTCAGGAGGCCCTGGATTCACTGCCATTTGTCTGGGGAGGCTTGGATGAGGATGAAGCTGTTGGACACTTGCCTTCTCCTGTGGACATAATCTGGCAGGACCCTTGCCAGGCATACCCCACACAGCCTACTCCCTGAAGAAGGGCCAGGCCAGGGCTGTATGGAATAATAATTTAATGCTCACTGTGGCCCTGACTGAAAGTCAAGCTCAGGCACAATTAGGGCTTGGCTGGGCTCCCACCAATGAGGTTACACACAGGCAAGGAGGCTGGATGTGGCAGAGGGGCATGGGGGCAAGGCAAGGGGAGCTAGCTCATAAATAGGGCCCAGCCTGGGTCTAGGTTCAAGGGGGTAGGCTCTTGCTGTGTGGGCTAAGCATGCCTAGGCTGCCGAGGAAGTGGCACTTGAATTAGCTGCCTTTTCCCAGTCCTCTACAGACACGATGGTGGCTTTGCAGAAGAAACAATCCTTGTTGTTCATCAGATGCTGGTTGATGCAGGCTCTACAACGGGAGGGGGTGGGGGTGGCCTGTATATCCCTGCTGCTCCCCCCACCCCTGTCCCCCTCCAGCCTCCTGTGCCCATGTGGCCCACTTACTTGCAAGACTTGTGGCCACAGGGCTGGAACACGGCAGAGATGGGGTGAGCATAGCAGATGGGGCAGAGGTCCTCCTCACTGGTGGGCTGCAGGGAGCAGAATGAGGGTGGGCTGGGGTTGGATGACCAGACAAGTGGGTATACACTATGCCTATATAGTATACACACAGTTGTGCCAACGTGCATTCAGATAGGGGTGGACCTGTGTGCTGCGGTGCCACTCACCAGGGAGGCAGCTGCTGCTTGGGCAGATGCAGAGGTCAGGTGTGCCAGCATCTGTTCCACCTGAGCCAGTTCCTCAACACTGATGTAATCTGTGTCTGGGGGCGGGGAGGTAGTAGGAGGTGTTAGGTCAAACGTAGCCCTGGAAGCCAGTGCCTCTTGAGTACCCCTAATCTGGAGATTTGCTCTTCAGACTCCTGACCTGGCCCGGCCCCCCAAATCCCCGTTCCTTGACCCTCCCTGGTCCACTCACAGCTCTGTAAGGAGAAGCGCTTCTGATCGGGGGCAGGCAAGGCAGTGCCAGAAGCGGGGGGCTCTGGCTGCCCCAGAAGATAGCATATAGAGCGCAGCTGGAAGCAGGGATCAGCCAGGAGCACCGACGTGGCTCTCTCTGTCCTAGGTGGGAGAGGGTATGAGAGTAGTCAAAGAGGCTGGGGACTGTCTGAAACTCTTCTGTCAGAGGGGTGGAGGCGGTGCGACAATCCAGCCCACTTGCGTCGTTGCCTCCTTCAGCCCACCCACATCCCTGTTTCTCCCCACCCCTCCAAAAAGTTCTAGATCCCAGTGAATGACCCACACAGCCCGGGTACCAGGTTAAGAAAGCTCAGAGGAGCTATCAGGAGACAGTGAAAGTTCACCTGCCCCTTATTATACATTAACTCTTCAAAGAAAATACGTAATTAGGAGCTTAAAGGCGTATTCCTCAGGCTTCCTCTGCCGCAGAAAGCCAAGTGCAGGGCTGGGCATTGGGGCCGGACTCGCGCTCCCTCTGGCGGCCACGTGGGGCCCTCGATGGCCGAAGTCGCGGCTGCTCCGCCCCCTCCAACAGGAGCCAATAGGAGCCCAAGGCTCCGCCCCTGGGTAATCACCTCCCCAAGAGTATTTAACTGAGTGACCAAGAAAACACTCGGAGAGCTAAGAAAGCCTGAGAAGGTAGTGCTGAGTGGAGAGCGGCCCCAACTCACAACCTGCAACCGAGAAGTGGGAGCGGCTAGCAGCAAGTCAAGCCAGAGCAGAAGGGGGTGAGTCCCGGAGCAGTGCCCCGCGCAGAACTGCCCGGTCTCACCCTGGGTCGTTGCCGCCATGTCCTGGCTAGTACTACTGGGCGCACTGCTGTGCACGCTGCGAGTCGGATTAGGCACCCTGGACTCCGAGGACTTCCTGCCCACCGCGCCGCGTAACTGCCCCTACAAATGCGTCTGCGCTGCCGACCTCCTGAGCTGCGCAGGCCTTGGGCTGCAGGACGTGCCAGCCGCGTTACCTTTCTCTGCGGCAGACCTCGATCTGAGCCACAACGCGCTCCAGCGCCTGCGCCCCGGGTGGCTAACGCCCCTCTCCCAGCTGCGCGCCCTGCGCCTAGGTCACAACGAGCTGGAGGCGCTGGGTCGCGGAGTCTTCACCAATGCCAGCGGCCTGCGGCTGCTCGATTTATCATCGAACGCGCTGCGTGCGCTTGGCCGCCACGACCTCGCCGGGCTGGAGGCGCTCGAGATGCTGCTGCTGTTCAATAACCGCCTGGCGCACTTGGACCAGCATGCCTTCCAGGGCCTGGGCGCGCTCCGCTGGCTCTACCTGGGCTGCAACGAACTCACGTCTTTCTCTTTCGACCACCTGCACGGGCTGGGCGTGACCCACCTCCGCACCCTGGATCTCTCCTCCAACCGCCTGGGACGTATCTGGGTACCTGACCTGGCTTCGCTGCCCGCCTTTCTCAAGAACGGCCTTTACTTGCACAACAATCCGTTGCCCTGTGACTGCCACCTCTACCACCTGCTGCAGCGCTGGCACCAGCGGGGACTAAGCGCTGTGAGTGACTTTGCCCGTGAGTACATGTGTCTGGCTTTCAAAGTACCCACGTCCCGCGTGCGCTTCTTTGAGCACAGCCGAGTTTTTGAGAACTGCTCGGCTGCCCTGGCTCGGGGCCTAGAGCGGCCTGAAGAGCAGCTGCAAGTGCAGGTGGGTCGGTCCCTGAGGCTACAATGCAACACCAGCGCCCCGGCAGCTCACGTTGCCTGGGTCTCCCCGCAGCATGAGCTGCTGGTGGCGCCAGGATCCCGCAATGGCAGCATCGCAGTGCTGGCTGATGGCAGCTTGGTCATCCGCAACGTGCAGCCATGGCATGAGGGTGTCTTTGTGTGCCTGGCCACTGGGCCCCGCCTACGTCACAGCCAGACTCACGAGTACAACGTGAGTGTGCACTTCACACACCCTGAGCCTGAGGCGTTCAACACCGGCTACACCACGCTGCTGGGCTGCGCCGTGGGCCTGGTGCTGGTGCTGCTCTACTTGTTCGCACCGCCCTGTCCTGGCTGCCGCCGCTGCTACCAGCGCACCTGCCGCTGCTGCCGCTGCTGCCGCTGGCCCCGAGCACCCAGCCCACTCCAGGAGCTGAGCGCACAGTCCTCCATGCTCAGCACCACACCACCCGATGTGCCCAGCCGCAAGGCCAGTGTCCACAAGCATGTGGTCTTTCTGGAACCCGGCAGGAGGAGCCTCAACGGTCGTGTGCAGCTGGCAGTAGCTGAGGACTTTGATCTCTACAACCCTGTGAGCCTGCGGTTCAAGGCCGGCTCCGAGTCCTCTAGCTCCACGGGCTCTGAGGGGCTGGTGATGACCTAGGCTGCCCAGGGCCCCCACCGCCTGCCTGCTGCTTGCCCTGCTCCCTGCTGTCACGCAGAGTACTGCCAGGTGCTGGTAGGAAGCACTGGGCTTGGTCCTCCAGCCTCCTGTGTGGGGCTCCACTTACCCCACAGTGGCCTCATTCACTGGTAGAATTGGGGTCCCTGACCTCTGCCTCAGCACAGGGCCTGCCTGTGCTCCCTTTCCTTGGGACCGCTTGGTGCCCAAATGTCGCGTGAGGATTGGAACCGAGGCCTATCAGGAAGAGCCCTTGCATTACAGTCCAGGTCCACCCCGAGGGGCCAAGGCAGCTATGAAGGAGTGCTGGTGAGGAATCGAAGCGTAACCTCCTTCCTCTTCCCAAGGGGATAGGAAGGGGGAGGGCTCCGAAGGAAGACCTGGCCCCGCCCCCAGGGGGAAGGCGGAAACAAGCCCTTCTCTGATGAACTGGGACTCTCCACGCACCAGCGTCTACCCTACTTCCAGTCTACTTCAGCTTCACGACTCCATTCAGAGTCTGGTGGGCAGGTATGAGGCAGACGAGGCTCCTTAAAAGACCTGCAGGTGGCCTGGCCTGGGCCCTTGCCAGAACAGCCCTGCTCCTTCTGTGGCTGGAGCATCTGCAGGGTACTCTGAGGGCAGCGCGCCTCTCCCATGGGCTCCTGGGAGAGTAGGAAGGGCGCCATGGCCCTGTGCTCCCAGCTTTTCAGCAGTAAAGAGCCTGCTGAGCATGGCCGTGATGGAAGGGCGAAGCTGAGACTCACTGTCCCTTGAGGATAGAAGCCTCTTAAGGGTTGGCACTGGTCTCTGCCTAATGGCAGTGCCCTGGCTTCAGATCGGTTTCCCCCGTCCCACTGCAGGGAGGCAGGGAAGGGGGGCTGGGAACCACTCCTGTGTGGGGGCTGAGCTGGCACTCTCACGAGTGTCTGGGATCCAGTTGTCATGGAGTTTCTCAATAAAGGTAGGACATGCTCATTGCTGGAGCCTTTGCAGACACAGGCAGCAGTGTGTGTGCTCAGCTCTTGATCCCAGCAGTGCTGTCCTGGACATCGCAGGATGGCACCCTGTCCCCGCCTAAGGCTCTGAGGTACCTGTTCTGCTGGAGTCTCGGATTCCCCTACTCAGAGCCGCTGTTACTGCCACCTGTTTAGTGCAGACCTCACCGCCTGCCCTCTGCCTCAAAGCCTGATCCTGAGGTCCATGTCAGAGATGTGGAAACTGAACCGCAGGGAGGCCCGGCGTGGCCCTCTCCACATCAAACATGCTCAGCTCCCACCGGGGCCCACAGTCCCTCTCACTCACCCTGAGGCTGGGCCATGCACCAGGAGCTGTACCAGGATGCCTGTCACTGCCACCAGAATAGGGTAGTGGTCCACGCTCTCCAGGCCTATGGGAGGGAAGAAGGGGATGAGCTGCCCAGGAGCTCCTGGCTGATGCCATCCACCCATCCTATTGTCCTCCCTACAGAGGGGCACACTAAAGATGGGGGTGCCAAGCCCAGCTATCATAGTGCAGGATGGAGAATCAGGCATCACTGCTCCTGGCACAGGAACCAAAGCCTGTGGCATGGTGAATGCGGGGCCCCTAAGTCCTCACCAGGCAGCCGCAGGGTGACCACACGGTCAAATAGGTTCCTCTCAGCCGTCACGCGGT